ACTGAACACTCTATATCTCACTATAACAATATTATATTGAATAGTTATATCACTAGCTAAATAAAGCAATAACGATACTAGAGTTAACATCTATATATAAATTAATGCCAATGTCAGTGTGTCACACCTTTTCAACTATAATCCTAGAGGCCGTAGCCCAACATATCATACCATTTTGAAATTAAACCAACTCCGTGCGTGAGCAAATTAAAAAAAAATCGTGGGCCGGCTCCAGATTCACTATTTAGATTATTCGGACTGCTGTCCTCATCTTTGCCGCCATATTTATTACAACGTTTCGGCCTTTTAGCATCTGTGTATATTTCTGAGATTAGGTATTATGCACATTATTCGGACTATTGTCCTCAGCCATATTTACTACAACGTTTCGGGGGTTGGAATGTCGAACTGAACCCTTTATTTTGCTCACTGTTCTAGTTCCACGTGCCATGTCAGTTATCAAGTGTCTCCTGTTAATTTTCCCTCTGAAAGTTCTCCACTACCGTAACCGGGTATTGAACTCATACTCTTTGGATCCTGTCACAGGATCTAACCAACGCCTTTATCCACTGTGCCATGTGTCCTTGATCTGTGTATGAATTTCTTGGTATCATGAACCTAATATCTTCAGCACTATTTTTTTACCAGTGCTCATATTGCAATTTTTGCTGTTATCATTGTATGTTTTTTGCCAGAGCTCATATTGCAATTTTTATTATCGCTTTTCTCTGGCACTCCTTATTATGTTTGGTCGGCTCAGGACATAGACAGATACTAGCGTTATGCACTAAGATGAGCACCTGGTGCGCTTCATCCTGTAATATCCAATCATCATCACAGCTAAAACGGACCTAGGGATCTATGTGACTATCTGCCTAACTCCAATTGGAGATAATCATATGACGCCATTTCTACGCTTTGCTATAAACATGACACGGGGCTGGTCGAGGATTTCTCATGGTGATTCACTAAGCAGATTTTAAATGCGGCACAGGGCCGAAAGTAGGTGGCATCCAGTGAGGATCGAACTCACTACTCAGTCGTAGTTGATCTTGTTGCCATTTTAGATTTTTTTAATTTGTGAAAAAAATGCAATTCACTCCACCAGAAATTTGGAAAGGGCATGCTCTATTGCTTGGCATTCACGCCGGGAGCTCTAATACGAACATTTAAGGGTGTTTTCATATCAATCTGAGAACAGTGCAGAAGTTTCGGAAAGAGTTGGAAGAGTCTAATTATGATTACGAAGGCCGGGCAGCTCGGTAAACTCACTCTGATTGTTCTGATAAGAAAAGAACTTGTTGGTGAGGGCCAACATGGAGGACTACATCAAGTGCATTCAGATGTTATTTTTAGCGGATACTCGTGTTTGAAATAAAAAAAAAATCTGTTTTTATCATTTCTTATATCCATCAGCTTCTGGCATTTTTTATTAATTACCTTTTCAAACAGTAAATGCAACATCAATCGTCATCTGTCTCCATGACTACCTTTCTTTTCATAACCACTCTCTCTCTTCTGTGAAACCGTTTATTTCTTAGAGGCTTTATCACCTTACTTAAGATGATTGGAAACCGAATCTTATGCTTGGAACGCAAACAGCCTAAACTCTCAGCCAAACTGTCAGCGTTCAAATATAGACCTTTGCCGGATTAAATAATCAATTTAATTTATAGTTAAGCAGCAATTTCATTTATGGAAAGAGTCACTCCTGTGTTTGGTGGAGGCATCAAAGAAAATATACTTAGAATTTCACTTCATATCGATTATTAATTTCAAAATGTCAATGTGCTTTCCAAGTGTTAAATTTGGTTTGAACAAGGATTTGGTTATCGACATAGCAGGTATTAGCTTGAGTCAGAAACAATAACATGGAGGCACAGTGGGGTAATGGCTAACGGCTCGGATTAAAGAGGCGGGTTCAAATTCCAGCTCATGGCTTACGTACTAATACCCTTGGGAAAGGTGTGAATACACCTCTTCTCTCCCCTCCTAGCTACGTGTAAAATAGGACAGACGAAGTCCTATAGATTTCGGTATCAACCTGTCTAGGCGAATAAAACTCTGACTGCTTCTTTGACTGCATGAATTTAAGCGTGCTACTAGGTTAGGATCTCGGTCCCACACTTCTGCTGTCGAAACAGTTAAATGTAACCGTTTCTTCTACACCAACAGCTTCTTCTCTCGCACTTCCCGACTGTGCAATTCCCTTCCACTTACTTGCAACCATGATAAGTATAATCTTCAAAATTTTAAATGTAATGTCAATCGACATTTTCTTGATCTCCGTCCTTCTCTTTACTCTTGCCTTCACTTTCATGCTCTGTAAGCCCTTGCGTGCACAGCTGTCTTGCTTTGGGTGAAATGCTTAAAAAATAATGACATCGAGGGGCTTGTGATATTTCGTCTGTGAGAGAAGGGTTGTTGGGTGGAAAATTGTTTAGCACCAGCAAGAATGCGGATATGGTTTTGGACTCTATCGATAGTCAAAAGTGAAGACTGGCATCTCCTGCCGATATGTGGCAGCAGTTCTTCATTTTCGGCCTGATCTGGCTCTTGTAAACGTAGAAGGTAGCAGGTGGAGTCTCACTTATATATTTTCAGCTTCTTTAGCAATGGATCGTATATACGAGTTCCACTTGGGGTCGGTGTTGAGTTGCGGTCAAGTCATGGGGTCTCCCCGAGGGAACATCCGTTCATCGTGTCCGTAAGTTTTAACGGGAAAAAAAAACAAAAAAAAAATACAAAAAAAAAAAAGTTTTCGACCAACTCTCGGACCTGGTTTTAATTAGAGAATATTTTCCCCCATGAAAGCGTTTTGCAGAGATCGAAAAGAAATGTTAAAAATCGGTTGATTGAAGGTCAGGTAAAGATGGCGTCTGAAGCAGAATAGACCAAACGGTTTTCATTTTTTTTCCCCGCGTCTTTCTTACTGGGTGAAACTTTACGTTATCATGGCGGAGAATAACTTTTTAAAAAAAATTTAATTCACTGTGTACGCTATCATTGCTCTTCAAAAGCTAATGTATGTTAAGTTAATGTCAAGCTGATTCTTAACTAGCATATAGAATTATTGGCTAGTGTGATATATTCATCATTACAATTGGTTTCAAAACGAAATAACCAATAACAGTGAACCAATAAGAGTGTGGATTCTTTGGATTAAATTCAAAGAACAATAGATTCAGCTCCAGGGGTGGGGTACTTAACACTTCCGGTTTCTTCCGGAGGGATTGACAGTTGTAGTATCTGTTCCGTGCCGGAGACCTTCTCCTCTCTCTTGGGTTTCCCCAGCGTTGCATCTGTTACATAGCTGTGGTATGACCTGCTATGACTAGCTTAGACAAGCTCTGTCCAGTTTAGACAAGCTAAGACAAGCTTTGACAAGCTTAAACAAGCTAAAACCACCTTAGACCAGCAGCCCGAGTGGAAACTGTTACGGTTTTTTGGGTATATACCACGTATAACTAGTGAGCGAATCAGAATGACTTATTTCCTTTTATAGTCGACCAATGGAAGGTTGACCAATCAGAAGCCGCACAACACTGTATTCGTCGTGTATAAAGGCGGCCATCTTGTTTCCTCTACCGGAAGGACCAAAGGCGACCAGGAGAAGGGTGAACTACACTCTGCTGCGATATCCACTGCGAACCTGCACTACGCTTTCCTACTGTCTCCGAAATATTCACTGCCAACCTCTGGATTCTATACTCGAGGACGACCATCATGAAAATGTCTAACAGAAACACCCGAGTCCCCACTTTAAAAAGCGACCTTGTGTCACATCATGAATTAGTGGGGTGTTAAGGTAAATCTCGGTTATCATCCTTCAGGCAGCATATATCCTCTCCCTTCGAAGATGCTAGGGCATGGATGGCCAACCTGTGGCGCATGCACCATAAGTGGCGCATGCACCATAAGTGGCGCATGCGCCATAAGTGGCGCATTGGATGCTTACAAATGGCGCATTGCATCCTTTTGATGAAAAGAAACTAAACCACTTCTACTCCTTCATTTCAGTGATTTTATTTTTATTGCACGTCCTTTGTGAAACTGCTAAATGTTTGATTTGTGTTTGTCCCATTTCTTTTTGTCAAAAATGCTGACGTGGACCTTTTGGTTGACTGAGTGATTAACTAAATGGTAGACAGGATTGTGTTCTAAAATGTCATTCTTTATCACTGCACTGGAGAGAGCGTTTGTGTCTGGATTTCGTTAAATTAAGCTAAGAATAATTTCATGATTATTTATTATTTTCAAATAAATAGATTTTATTATACCTTTAAAATATGTCCATATTACAACACGTACTGAAAGGAAGTGAATGTGTGTGTGGCGCATTTAAATTAATCGTACAAAATATTGGCGCATGGAATCAAAAGTTTGGCCACCCCTGCGCTAGGGGTTAATGACTGATAGAGGGAAAAGATTATTAGGAGAGACAACAATAAAAGAACAAGAATTAAGAAGACAGATAAGAACGATTATACATTATCTTCTTATTATATACAGACATTATACTAAAATGTTTCAAAGTTGACTGCGAAGCAATAAGCCGGAAGAGAGAAGTGCGACAGATACTCAAAGTCTACAGTTCAACCGTTATCTTTCCTATATATCCCCATAAACAGTGCCTGATACTCTGTAAATCTCTACTTCGAGTGGCTCTTATGCCTTTAACAGGGCGAACATCATTATAGAAAAAAAGAAACTAAACAAAATAGCAGTCATCCATGTAGGCACGACGTTGCTTAACAAGACTCGTTCCTTTCAGATTTTTTTTTGTGAAATGTAAATTCCATACGAGCAGTTTCTTCCTACAGACCACTGCTTTGTGGAACCGAATGGGCGGACCTTGTACGAACCAATGCTTTGTGGAACCGAATGGGCCCTTGTACGAACCGAATGGGCCCTTGTACGAACCGAATGGGCCCTTGTACGAACCACTGCTTCTTGGAACCGAATGGTCCCTTGTAAGAACCATTGCTTTTTGGAGCCGAATGGTCCCTTGTAAGAACCACTGCTTTGCGGAACCGAATGGTCCCTTGTTCGAACCACTGCTTTGCGGAACCGAATGGGCCCTTGTACGAACCGAATGGGCCCTTGTACGAACCACTGCTTTTTGGAACCGAATTGGCGGTCCTTGTAAGAACCACTGCTTTGTGGAACCGAGTGGGCCCTTGTACGAACCACTGCTTTGTGGAACCGAATGGGCGGCCCTTGTACGAACCACTGCTTTGTGGAACCGAATGGTCCCTTGTAAGAACCACTGCTTTGTGGAGCCGAATAGTCCCTTGTAAGAACCACTGCTTTTGGAACCGAGTGGGCCATTGTTTTTTTTTTTTTTTTTTTGTAGAACCGAATGGGCCCTTGTACGAACCACTGCTTTGTAGAACCGAATGGGCCCTTGTAAGAACCACTGCTTTGCGGAACCGAATGGTCCCTTGTTCGAACCACTGCTTTGCGGAACCGAATGGGCCCTTGTACGAACCGAATGGGCCCCTTGTACGAACCACTGCTTTTTGATCTTTGAATTGGCGGTCCTTGTAAGAACCACTGCTTTGTGGAACCGAGTGGGCCCTTGTACGAACCACTGCTTTGTGGAACCGAATAGTCCCTTGTAAGAACCACTGCTTTGTGGAGCCGAATAGTCCCTTGTAAGAACCACTGCTTTTGGAACCGAGTGGGCCATTGTACGAACCAGAGCTTTGTAGAACCGAATGGGCCCTTGTACGAACAACTGCTTTGTAGAACCGAATGGGCCCTTGTAAGAACCACTGCTTTGTGGAACCGAATGGACCCTTGTTCGAACCACTGCTTTGCGGAACCGAATGGCCGGTCCTTGTAAGAAGCACTGCTTTTTGGAACCGAATGGGCCCTTGTGCAGGTTGAACCTCATTGAAAAAAAATACCAAAATTAAACACCACTTTATGAGATATTGTTTTTAAAATAGGCCTGGAGATACAGTAATTTCATAATTTCCCCCAAAATTCTTTTTTATATACAAAGCTTTAGGGTGGGGTTATCTTCTAGGCAGAACATACAACATTGCTTTGAGAGGGAGGGTTAGGTTCAATCCTCGATGCCTGACGCGCCTAAATATGGTAGTATTGTGAGCGACTAAGCAGTTTTTCTCGTCAACTTCTATATTTTTTCCCGGGTGGATATGTGGTGATATACACTCATTTCCTAAATCCCCCTAACCAATCGTGGTTGGCGATTGATTCAAAGAACACTATACTTAGTTTCAGGGGCGGCGATCAACTTTAAGGCGGAACCTACTCCATTGCATTAAGAGGTGGGGTCAACGATGGGTGTGATATTCTGCACGAGTCGGTGTGCGCAGAGATTTCGTAATCTGCCCTCATCATTTGAGTCGAAGTTCAAGAGGCTCAGCTTCAGACGATCAAGCCTCTGGCATCACCCCACCCATTCAAGCCCTGACGCCTGATGTATCCCAATAGGAAAGTGACTTTTCGTCTTCGATCACATATACCTGTGGCATATACGCTTCGAACATGACCGACTCCGATACTCGGATCCATTTTGCGTACAGATGATAACACTCGTTTCGTAACTGATGTGGGACCAAAGTCGGGATCACGGAAGGAAAACACGGAACACGGATTAGAGGTAAGAAAGATATATTAAACCGAAAGGTTACAAAGATAGTGTAAGTGTAAGCGGAGCTTACTATGTGCTAGTGTCCAATATTAGTAGTCGTACGCGGCTGATACTACGGTATTAGAATACTCTCTTTCTCTATCTTTCTTTCCTCCTCCTCCTCTTCTTCTTCTCTCTAAATTTCTTTCTTTCTTTCTTTTTCTTTCTTTCTTTTGCTCCGTTATTGTTTATCTTTTCTTTATTTATCTTTCATTTTCTTTCTTTCTTTCTTTCTTTCTTTCTTTCTTTCTTTCTTTCTTTCTTTCTTTTTATTCGACAGTTTTTGTTCTGTTCCATTTTGTTCTTTCTTTCTTTCCCACAACAGTCTGTTCTATTCTGCTCATTCTTTCTTACTATCTTTCTTTCTTTCTTTCTTTCTTTCTTTCTTTCTTTCTTTCTTTCTTATGTGGACCCAAAGTTGGGACCACGGAAGGAAAACACGGAACACGGATTAGAGGTCAGAAAGATATATTAAACAAAAAGGTTACAAAGATAGTGTAAGTGTAAGCGGAGCTTACTATGTTCTAGTGTCCAATATTGGTAGTCGTACGCGGCTGGTACTACGGTATTAGAATACTCTCTCTTCTTTTCTTCTTCTTCTCTCTCTAGAGTGTTATGTCGCATACGTTATACGGTCCTGGAAGAGTCCACGTTGTAGGTATGTTACGGTCTCACAATAGTAACATATCTTGACAATTTGTGGTTGTGTTTGAAAAAAAAAACACAATATGATTAACTTCAGCCACCCATCTTCTCAAGAATCGTCTCCACCATTGGATGAATCCATTAAAACCCACTGCCAAATCTCTATCTATAAAAGGCAGTGTGTGTGTGTGTGTGTGACGAATGCACGGCCGCAATTTTCGACGGATTTGCACCAAAATTTACATGTACATTTACATGCACATGCTCCAAGTTAGCGACAAGGCCAAGACCGACTTTGCATTTCCCAACTTCCATCGATAGTGGAAATAATCGATTTTTTCATGCTTCTGCGGCAGTTTTCATGTAGTTTGCGGCCATTTTGTACTGGCCAGAGTGAGAGTCTATAGCTGGCTGCCACGAATAGGCAGGAAGATTCTATTGGCCAGCGTGAGAGCCAACAGCTGACTGACACGAATGTTAACTAGCATATTAGCATACAAAACACATCGATAGCTGCATTCGTCACAAGTGGGAAAAATTTAAATCTGCATGGCACTTTACTCCAATTGGCTCATTCGCTTGCTTAAACTCAACATTGATTCTGATTCCGCAGAACTGGGTTGGGTGTGAAAAAGCATTTGTTGTTAACATTCTTTTTTTAATTCGGTTTTTCCAGTTACGAGTCCTTTTTTAAAGCTGATCGTTTTGTGTTGATTTTGTTTAGTTCTTTTTTCGTAACAGATTTAATGTTTAGTATAGGGCTTGGAAAAAATTCGAAGTCTGAGATAGGCAAGAAGTAAGGCATGTAGCAACATCAGCACTGCAAAGGGCACTCCTTTAAAGGCAAGGAAGGGAAAAAATATTTTAAGTCAAGTGATAGCGATTGCTGTATGAGTCGTACGATTTTTGAATCAAGCACAGGCAACGCCGGGCCATGCTGCTAGTACAGTATTAATTATAGGTTTATAAAAAAAGCAGACAACAAGACATTAACGCCCAATGTTCCATTTTTGAGATGCTAGGTATTAAATTATAAAGATAGGAAATGAGTTCAGCAGATATACAAAAATAAAAAGGGGTGTAAGACAAGGATGCGTCTTCTTACCAGACTTTTCAATCTATACGGAAAGGCCACTCTGAGAGAATTAGAAGTCCTACCAGGATTCATTATTGGCAGCCATAATTTTGACAACATAAAACATTCAGATGACACAGTGTTGATAGCAGACAGAGAAAGGAAACTATAAGAACACCTACAGAAGGTAGTGAAGGAAAGCAAGAAGAAAGGACTAAGCATCAATTGCAAGTATATTCGCCATTGACGCTTTAGTGTGAAACGATTAAAAAATACTAAAATAATATTCCTGTATTAATTTCGTTTTGTCATTTTTTCTTCTTCCCCCACTTTTCTTCTTCTTCTTCTTCTTTTCTTCTTCTTCTTCTTTTCTTCTTCTTTTTCATTTTCTTCTTCTGCTTTTTCTTCTCCTCCTCCTCCCCCTTCTTCTTCTTCTTTTCTGCTTCTTCTTCTCTTCTTCTCCTCCTCCTCTTTCTTCTTCTTCTTCTTTTTCTTATTCTCTTCTTCTTCTTTTTCTTTTCTTCTTCTTCTTTTTCTTCTTCTCTTCTTCTTTTATTTCTTCTTCTTCCTCTTCTTCTTCTTTTCTTCTTCTTCTTCTCTTCTCTTCCTCCTCCTTCTTCTTCTTCCTCTTTTTCTTCTCCTCCTCCCCCTTCTTTTCTTCTTCTTCTTCTCCTCCTCCTCCCCCCTTCTTTTCTCCTTTTCTGCTTTTCCTTCTTCTTCTCTCCTCCTCCTCCTCCTTCTTCTTCTTCATCTTGCCGTGTTCCTGAAGCAACAAGGACGTTGGGCATCATGAATCTCCGCAATTTCCTGTCCATTGTAGTTCTTAATGTCTTTCCTCTTGTTGCCATCTGTCCCAAATTCTTCTATGCCATCCATTTTGCTTCAACCCAGCAGGTAGCTTTGTGCATTGCTTTCCTCCCGGTCCTTTTACATTCAATCTCTTCCTTTTATGAGACCGACAATATTAGCGACTGCGCATGTCTGAAGAGATAGAGTTTGGAATTTACAGGCGTATCAAATTTTCCACGCCTTCTTTCCTCGAAAGATAGAGAAAAGAATTCAACAGTAAACAATAAACATTTTTCTTCTTCTATGTGACGTGAAGGGCGATTATGCCTCTCCACAATATCCTGTCCTTTGCAGCTCCTAATAAATTTGCACTTTTTGATATCTTCTCTAAACCTCGCTCCGCCATTCGTTTTTACTCGCTAGATCGGTTATGCGACAATGAAATCCGAAGGCACATTGGGATAGCTAAAGATGCCTTCCAAACTCTAAGCAGAGTATTAAGAAACAGAAAAAAGGTCGTTAGAAACAAAGTAAAGATCACTGAACTGCTACGTAATATCAGTCTTCCTATATGGCAGTGAATGCTGGACATTCTTCTACCAGATGAAGAATAGACTTAAAGCAACCGAAATGTGGTTCTATAGAGTGATTCTCAGGATACCATGGACAGAACATTTGAGTAACGTGGAAGTGTTAGAGAAAATGGAAGCAAAAAGGAAACTTATATTTAACAGTTAAGGAGAGACAGTTGAAATTTCTAGGTTGCATGATGAAGGAGGAGGGTTTGGAAAATCAGATCCACACAGGAAAGATTGAAGGCAAGAGGGACAGAGGAAAACAACGCATAACTTACATAGTAAACGGATGGCGGAACAGGGTTTAGAAGAAAAATTACAAAAAGAGAAAATTTATTAATATCTACTAAGATAGAAACGCAACTGAGGGATGATAAACTGATATAATGGAATGGTGTTCCCCCTCATTGGCTGGTGTCCGTCATAAATACAGACGGTCATGTAGGTACGACAGAGTTTAAGTCTATGACGACGGCCATTGGACTACGCCATTGGCTATCCTATTGGTCTACACCTATTACCTGCGACTACGACGAGTACCGGCCGATTACTGCTACCGTGTCTTACTTGGTTATAGTAGCCAAACCTACTTAGCTACTTCGATCAAATATATCCCTTTCCGGGACATATCATAAACCCAATCCTGACTTATAATAATAGTTAAGCAACGTCGAGCTTGGTCAGTACTTAGATGTAATTCCATCGGAGCATACAGCATTAGGAGTGTCAATTGCACCACCCCCAACAAAAAAGCACATTCAGACAGCTTTCACCCAAAGATTCTTGATTGATTTGTCTTTTTTTTTTACGGTTTACTAACCCTTCGAGGAGTACTGTGGTGTAATGGATAGCTGCTCGGATTGAGGAATCGGAGAGCCGTGTTCGAATTCCAGTCGAATCTATTACATTCACTGAGTTGCTAATATCCTTGGGAAAGGTATGAATCCTATTCTTCTCCCTCCAGCTCAAGTGACCTTTTTGTTTTCATTTCACTTAAAACTTTCCTGTTGCTCCCATATTCTATCCATGAAATTCTCAATATCCTTCTGTAGAACGAAATTTCTGTTGCTTCGTCTGTGAGAATATTGTCCAGCATCCCCTGACATATCGGAAGAGTCATATAAAATTACAGTCGAAGGAAATCTTTTTATCTCTTAATAGTTCATTTAGCTTGGGTCTATAGGTTAATATCGGACAGGATTATACTTGAGCCAATAATTAAAAATGGTCGTCTTTATAACTGAGTCAGTAGATACTAATTGGTGGTGTTTATATTTGAGTCCATAGGTAAACGTTAGTTTTATTAATACTGGAGTCCTTAGATAAAGAATGATCTGTTTTATACTTTAGGCTATAAATAAAACATTTTATACTTTAGGCTATAGATAAAACATTATTCGTGTTCATCCTTAATCCAGTGATTAATACTTGTTGCGCTTATACTTCAGGTTAAAAGCAGTAGCAGCATCCTATCGCCTCGTACTGCTTCGCACAAACCGGTTCTTAAAATTATGTTCAGACGAATGCCTTAAAAAACTGGACTCGTTTTCGACAAAGATTGATTTCATATCTCAATCAATTCATCTGGTTCAGATATAGGTATTTTGCTAATATATATATATATATATATATATATATATATATATATATAGATACATAACATACATACATACGTATGTATGTATATATGTATATATATGTATATCTATATCTATATCTATATATATATATATATATACACATATATATATATATATATTAAGAAATGGACAAAGTCCGACAATTTATTTATTAAAGACATTTTTATGTTTAAGTTATTTTTATAGATACAAGTATTTAAATACTTGCATTTATATAAAAAGAACTTATATCTTTATATATATATATATATATATATATATATATATATATATATATATATATATATATATGCACATTACATTGAATACGATAGACAAGGTGTTTTGATTTAGTTTTTATACAATTTCTGATGTGATCTTATAATTTATTTTATTTTCGGAGGAAAAATTATATAAAATTGACTAATTGTTCTTTCTTTCCGAACGCTTTCGGCTATACATCTAGCCATTTTAATGGTTGAAATATATCAAATGTTAACAAGAAATTGTTTGTTGTATGTATGTATTTATATAATGTTTTCATTTTCAAAACACGGTCAAGATATTGTGTCCATGTTCATAGTTGATATTATTGAGTATTGTTTTTTTTGTTTTTATTAATAAGGCTTCCATTATTTTAGCCTTTTTTGCGTGTAGATGATGCTATTACATTTGTGTTGTCAACAAGTATGTTACGAATAGTGTCCGGTAGGTGTCCATGAATATTTAAATTTTATATAATTATTTTTGAGAATTTTAATTGATTAGGAATACAATTCCTTAATGGTCATTTAAATTTGTAAATAATATTTTTCATTATCTATCTATATTTCTGAGATGAGGTATTGTGTACATTATTTACATGATTCGGACTATTGTCCTCATCTTTGTCGCCATATTTATTAC